TACAATAGTAGTATATGGTGTGGTGTGTGTCTGTGTGTCTGAGGTGGTGTGTGTGTGTGCATGTGTGTTGTGATAAGGCTTTACAACCAAGTTAACGCTGAAAGTACAGACATCACTAATGTCACATAACATTGCCGACATGTGGCCAACAGCAAAGTTTTAATGTTCTTCGTTATTAAACATTCGCACATAAATAAGTGACATCATATTCAGTACTTACTTTTGACAGTTCACTCTTCGGCCGCTCCCGTCTGCCGTATTTGCAGTTTGGAAAGCTTTAAACGAACTGGTAATATGTACTCCTGGATATCTGAGGCCAGAAGACGGTAAACTCAAGTTTTTAAGCATATATTATAAATTATCAGTTCAAGACCGAGACGGAGATCTAAGTAAAATACATAACAGCTTTTTAAGCACAGACTCGACTTTTTTTTTTTTTATTTATTGTCTCTGGCAGCACTTTACATGTAGTTAAACTGACATGTGATTATGAATGAATTACCCTGAAGGAGAAATGTGCGGATTATAAACTACGATTCTGTTTCCGTATTTTATTTTTAAACGTAAACACGGTTTATTAGTAGTATTAAAATGCATAGTAGTCTTAAAAGATGTCAGTGTTTTAAGAATGTTTTTTCATTCGCGGAGAAGGGACGATAATGTATCCTGTAAGATAACATGTTATATAAACGTAGTTAGCGAAGAACGACGAAAGAAATCAGCGTAGCCCACAGAAAGAAAAAAAGTATTGTCAGAAGTGGGATTCGAACCCACGCCTCCATTCGGAGACCAGAAGTCCCGTTTTACAGGAAGGTTTAACCTTGAGTCTGGCGCCTTAGACCACTCGGCCATCCTGACAACTCTGTCGAACGAGCCGAAACAAACACTCATATAATTACAACTCACTGTGTCACGATTGTGACTGCCAGAGATGCATCGAACAGCCATTTCTCCTTTAGGTTCTTTGACATCAGTTCAAACTGAGCTTAAATTCGTTTGTTTAAATGAAAGGATGGTTTGTTTCGCAGCTGTTTACGGAACAGCAGTAAGCGAACATTTCCGCCAGGGGCAGTATACATACGTTATGAAATACACTTCCGGTGCTTTTACACGTGATTCTCCGCCCATCTCTCACTACAGACCTTCGCTTACTACATAACAAGCTGCAGTCATCCTTATGAAATGCAAATACTGGACTGTGTCCACTGTTAGGGCGACTAAAGAGCCAATTGTGTAGAGAAGCTGCGCGTATTAAAATGTCCTTTTACAGGAATACTGTGTGGCTTGTCAAAGGACTCCAGGAGTATACAAAGTAAGTAGACAGTTTCCTTTTCTAATAGGACTCTATTATGTAGTCAAATGACTTGTAGTCTTAATTGTTTGCAGTACATATAGGCTACATAACCTTCTGACACGCCGCCCAAAGTTTAACTACATGTTTGCTTTGTTAGTGATAGCACTCGGTTACTGCGCGTTTGTGTCCGACATCATGCTACAGGTAAACGATTACACAATGCTGCAAGCTTACCTTATAATCAGGACTACAACCTCTTTAAAAGATGTTTGAAACAGTGAAAGTGCTTCTTACATATGTTTTCTGACGTGACCAGTAACCCAAATTAACACAGTGGATAAAGACATGTATAAAGCAGGAGAGTGTCATTTGGAGGAAGACTGTTTTACTTGATAAATTACCCAAATTATTAGGCCGTTATATTTTGTGATTTGCTTATGGTATGCTTATTGTATCCTAGTAACCACACCCAATAGTGATGACACTGTTACATCAGTGCATGTAGAAATATGGGTGACAGTGTAATGTGCTCACACATTCCTCTTTGCTCGTACCAGGAGTGGCTATGAAGCAGCAGCAAAGCATTTTGTTCCAGCTGACCTGGATGTAAACCTGAATGGAAGGTCCTTCATGGTGACAGGTGCCAACAGCGGGATAGGGAAAGCTGCAGCGCAGGAAATCGCTAAGAGAGGTGAGAGTCTCACAGCTGACAGAAGGCACTTTTCCTCCTTCCTTCTGGTATTTGTGTGTGTCAAATGTTGATCATGTTTTCCTTTGTGTCTGTAGGGGGAACGGTTCACATGGTGTGTCGAAACAAGGGGCGAGCAGAAGCAGCCAAAGGTGAAATTGTTGAAAGCAGTAAAAATGAGGTGAGATTTTAACTGTTCATCTGTCTGAGTTTTTTCTTTTTTATACAGGAGTTCTCTCCCAGAAATAAAGTGAAGCTTTGCTTTTTCTTTAATAAAAATATGCTCACATTCTTGTTTTTTTTCCATCAGATTTTTAAAATGTTCTGTAAAGAAACGTGAATGAAAATAAAGCAATCAAACAAAACAAAATAGATGAGAATATTCATACCTGCTTTTCCACCCAATTAGATTAGACTTAAAACTAACCCACACCTTTAATTTTCCTGTCTATTCCCAGAATGTTCACGTCCACATTGTTGACATGTCGAGCGCCAGGCAAGTGTGGGAGTTTGCGCAGAGCTTCTCACAGAACAACACACTGCATGTGTTGGTGGGTAACTGCAGATATGTTGTGGCTCATCTGCAGTAAACATATTTTAACGTTAACGTTAATCTCAATCTGTTTATGGTGGTTCTCAGATCAACAATGCGGGCTGTATGGTCAACCAGAGAGAACTAACTGAGGAGGGTTTGGAGAAGAACTTTGCCACGAATACGTTGGGTAAGACGAGAACACATATTTCAGATGGAAGTTTTAACAACAAAAAGGAAGCTGGGGTTTTTAAATCGTAACTTTGTGTAAAATGATAGTGTTCAACATTTTCTTTCCTGCAAAAATGACTTCTCAGGACTGACTGTAATTAAGATGGTCTTAAAAAAACTTCCAAAATAGGCAAAATGTAAAATATTAACATTAAAATAAGCATTTTGTATTTAAATTTAGGGGAGGTGATTGTAATGATCACTGGTTTTGGCCTTATTTGACAAATTATGTTGTTATTTAATGTCATTTCTGCAAATTTGCAACAAAAAAAGTATGTGAAAGACTAATATTGGCTATAAATAAAAAGTCTTTTGTGCGTAACTTTGTTTTTCAGGTACATACATCCTCACCACTGCACTGATACCTGCACTGAAGAAGGTCGAAGACCCGAGAGTGGTGGGTTGAATTACAACGGCACAAAAAAATAACCAGGATGTACAAATGCACGACTGAAAATGAACAATTTCTTCTGTTTCCGCTCCAGATTACTGTGTCTTCAGGTGGCATGCTCACACAGAAATTGGACGTGGACGACCTCCAATTTGAGAAGGGGACATTTGACGGGACCATGGCCTACGCTCAGAATAAAGTAGAGTGACTGAAAGACGTAGCGGTCTACAGAGGAATTGTTGTGGTATTTATATTGATATGCATTTTTTTTCTTTGTCTGGCAGAGGCAGCAGGTGATCCTGACAGAAAGATGGGCTGCTCAGAACAAAGAGATCCACTTCTCCAGCATGCACCCCGGCTGGGCAGACACACCAGGTGAAGAAAAGAAAGATACTTTAAAACTTAAGAATTTAACTGGAAGATAAATGTTTTTCATGGAATAACAACCTTTGACAAGAGAATGTTGTCTCTGTGACTTAAGTTTTGAATTTTCTCTCTGTAGCGGTCCAGACCTCCATGCCTTCATTCCACGCTAGGATGAAGTCCAAGCTGAGGACGGAGGCCATGGGAGCTGACACCGTGGTGTGGCTCGCCGTATCCGCAGCAGCCGCCAAGCAACCGAGCGGGCTCTTCTTTCAAGGTCAGAAAAAGACTTGCAAATATCTAACATGGTTTTCTCTGTAATCACAGAGAGAAACTAAGGAACTTGAAGGGTAGCAAAAGATATAAATTATGTATTAAGCACTTGCTAATACTTTACAAATGCTTCATTTGAATGACATCTGTGTCAGTTTCAACTGGATTCAACCAGCAGCAGCAATGACTGTTCCCACAGCTGGGACTTCAATAATGAGGCCACAGAAACGTTGTTTCGCAGTAACATGTCTAGAATTAAACTACGCCTTCAATCACAAATAGGGAAATCCCTCCATATTTCTTCTTAACACTCAGATTAATGGACTTTTTTGGGTCCCTGTCCACCCAAAAAATTCTAGCTACAGTCACACAGTAGTCTGGGAATTATGAGTCTGTCATAATCTCGCTGTAACGAGACTGGCGCCTTACAGCTCACCAAACTCATCCATACACCTCTCATTCCCCGTGATGATCAAGATGACTGCTGGAAAAAGCTCCAGCATTGAAATTCAGTCGTTTCCTCTCTAGCTCCTCCACGATAGCGGACGTTACTGCAGGCAGCAGAACTGTCTGCGCTCTATCAGCTGGTAGAGACTGTCTGTTGCCAAGATCGTAACATGCAGGAAAACCACCGATAGATTTGAACACCTGGACCAGTAGCAGTTTCACTTTTTGCATAAATCGGAAGCAAAATCGACTCTGTCATTTTTACAGTCATAAATGAAATTTGTAATCACAGGTTATTTAGTTTGTTCCAAAAGTTTAATCTTCAATAAAGTGATTCATGAGCGTAATTGTAGCTTAATAGTATTGATCAAAGATGTTCATGTTTTTGTGATGCTGCAAAACTCCTATATTTAAACTCATTTTTATAATCGATCACTTAAATGTCACACAGTTTTGTGTTATGTCTCATGTATTCGCATAAAATGTCTTTCAGATCGTAAAGGAGTGGCGACACACTTGCCCCTCGCCTCCTCCCGGTCAACACCGCAAGAGGAGGAGAAGCTTCTGGCAGCGCTGGACGAGTTCGCCCAAAAGTTCAAACCTTAATACCTCAAAAACAGTTTCTGTAAAAGGGGGAAAAAAAAACAAGCACTCCTCACAGATTACTAATGTTTACACAATCTTTTTTTTAATATACAGAAAAGCTTCAACCTCCAAGAACAACCTTTTACTTAAAATATACAAAAAAACAAAATCTAGTGAAGTAAATGTGGTTGTTTACGGAAAGATGACTTGTACTTTATTTTTGCTCCTTGGTTAATCAAAAATAAATAAATATATATACTTCCTATTTGTAAAGCTTATGAACATATGTACACACTAACAATTATGCATTTTAATTTATGTTGAATTTCTTATCTGATTTCATTAAATAAGAATTTTACCTGTTTACTTGCAGTTTCTTCATAAGGGGTTGTGTGCACCTGTGTTTCTGGTGTATTTTGGCTACTTTGAAATGTAATTTTTAAAGACGTTTCTCCCTGGGTGGATCATCTCCTTTTGCATGTGTCATGTGTTGCAATACCTGGGGAAAAAGGAGAAAGTCTGTGTTGCCGAGCAAAGTCCGATGAAGCTGCTGAAACGAAGACTCCAGTTAAAGTCGTCGAATATCTGCCGGTTTCAGTTTGCAGTCAAAGAACTCAACACTGCAGCAAGAGCCCTAAAATCACAGCTGCGATCCAATAAACAAACACTGGACTCAAATATAGTTGAGCAGGTGAATACCTCCTCTTTTAATATGTAATTTATACACATAATTACATTGAAGGACACAACAACAATTGTTTTCTTTCCTGGGACAGAAACACAGACCACTGGCCAAAGACTGATTTATTGCATCCATTCATTTTGAATGCAGAAATCCTATATTAGTATCTAGAAAGATGTGCATCTCCTGTGCAGTCTGGGTTTTCACATCATTGTGAAAACCCAGACTGCACCAATTATCACTTCCACGTGCACTTCACATGATGCCAGCAAAGAAAAAAGCTGCTTTGTTGCAGTTCTTTGGATTTTTTTGTACTCCTGTTCCACGCAGGCACCACATTACATTAGATTCAATACAGAGTGACAATAAATGAGCTTGCCGTGCATTCGAAATGACACAATTACTATAACGGAGCTGAAACACTGGTAAGGACCTTTAAAGTCTTAGTACCCAAAGTTTCACATTCACAAGTAAACAGCTGCTATACTTTTATTCGTGGCTGTAAAGTGATGTACAGTTTTCCATCGTTCTATAGTTGTAGAAAATCTCATCTTTGGGCTTGAACTGTACGAACACTAAGAATAGTTATCGGCTGAGCAGATCATTAAAGCACAAGTGTAATGATAACTAAAGACATACTTAGTCTTCACAGCATGAACTTGAGATATTTTTGCTTGTTGATTCCAGTGCATCGACAGTAAAGTCAGTCAGTATCGAGACGTTTAAAAACAGTAACAGTGGGGACAAATCAATGTCGTGTTCGTTAGCTTACTTTCTATTCTGTGCATGCTGCCACTGACGAGCTTGATGATATGTGCTTTTGAATGTCAAAAACGTTTAAACCACACTTACAATAATAAATAATCTCAGAAAACAGTTCCACAGCTGTAAAGGACAGGAAGTACAAAATGTCAGCTGGCTTCATGCTAGATTACACAATCTGAAAGGTGCGCTCTGCACATCAGTGGGTTTAGATAAACACTGTGTGTGCTTACACTACAACAACAAGAGTCTGCAGTATCATCAGTATCCTTGAAAACTTCCCAACCTTGTAAACTTTGGATTTCTTGCTCATACTGTCAATTTGTTACAAATTTGCTTGTTCTGACATGATACAGAAGCGTGGTGAGGTTGCAAACCAAAGAGCATCCATTTGCCTGGAGTTTTTTTTACCAGACCAGTATGAAAACGCCACGAGGTCTGCATGATATCCAGTCTTTTAACACTCAGTGGACTGGGTGCATCTACATCTGAGGCCTCCATGTGTTTGCACACCAGCATTACAGTGAGTACAGAAGACATAAAGCTCCTAATGTAGGTAATGTAGTTTATGCAGGTTTTTTAAGTTGTTTCCATCCACAAGCGTTTCAGCATAAATCTGAACTAAAGCTGCGTTTTATGCTACTTCTTCCCTCTAGTGCTTGATATCAGGTGTTGCAGCCTAAGAAAAAGTCTCCCTCGGATGATACTGTCAGGTCAGACCAGACGAAAAACAAAAAAAACAAAACATGATTTGTATAATAAGCGCACACAGTGTGAGTGATGTGAAGCACCTGAGAAACAGCACACCTGCCGACATTAATGACATGCTCACGAGCAGCATTTACAGGCAAGAACTAGAACATCTTCTACACAAGTGACACCTGTTTTGTTTATTTTTACTGCTCGAGGCTGTTTTTATTTTAGGTTCTATTTTTGACATTTAAACCTGTAAAACACCCAAATGTTCAGTGCTTACTATGAACATATTGTATTTTCTGCTCTTAAGACACATGTGAGTGCCATGCTGCATTGATGATTATACTAAAACAATAAAATAAATGAAATAGTTGGGAAAACCTAAAAAAAAGATAAAAGAAAGTAAGTTTGTGAGAGAATTGGGCAGTTTGGAGGCTCACACTTTGCTGCTATTTCAACTACAAACATTTTTTGTAATATCAGCCTGTATATACAGACAACAAAGCCTAGGGTCTGAGGGTTATGTCAGTATGTTATGCCAAAAAGACGACATTTTGTGTTAAACAGGTCAGTGTGACAGTTTAGGTTGTCACTATAACAGGTGGCAGGTACCTAATGTTAAATGGAATATAATAAAAGGAGCGTCACTTTTAAATTCTCTGTCTGCAGAAGGTAAAAAACAACACGTGCAGGTCTGAACAGCTGCTGGTGCAAATGAAAATCATAAGCTCCTGTTTTGTTAAGGATCTGCAGCCAGTTCAGTAGGAATGCACGTTTGATTTTGCCAGTCTGTTTAACAAGGTGCTTCACATCTACAGAAAATAAAGTCTGGGTTTGACAAGTTCCCGCAGTGCAAGCAGGTTTCATAAGACTGTTTCATGAATTTCCAGTTTGAAACTGGAAAGGAATGCATGGAAATTAAGTAAATGAGGTGTGTCGATAACTTACAAAGGGAAATGCCTCAACCTTTCGCACACTGTACAGACACACATACACAGAGAGACCCACCATCCACCAGCAACTCTCTGTAACCTTGTGTCAAACAAAGCCTGTATGGTTCTCAGGCTTCACTGGCCTGCAGTGCCCTCGCTGTAAATGTTCAACAGCAACCGCTACACGTTAAAAAACTGCTAAATATTATCCAGATGACATCGATCCTGCTGGAGCTCTCACCCTGTTTCTCTTCCCAGTGGTACTGGCACCTCGACAGTTTGTCAAACAGATTTCTGCTGACTGCTTGTTATCCACAGATCTCAGGACACCACAGGAGTCATGTCCCATAGCTGCAGACAAAACACAAGTAACCGTCAGTCCATTTAAGCAGAAACAGTTAAAGCTGTGTTTCTGTGACCCCCCCTCATAGCTCAGACATGTGCAACACTATCATCATCCGTTTGTTGGATTTGAATCAGATACTCTATGTAATTTGTCGACTTTAACTAATGCAATTTTTAAAAGACAATAATTTAAGCGTGTTTTTGACTAAATTAACACGTGAATTTTTTAAAAATAGGAGAACAATATTTGACCCAGTAGCTAGAACTGGTAATCAGCAGAGAGGCAGTTATACAGTCAACAGGGTGGGTCAAAGAAGAAATACTGTGACGTACATTATCACTTTGTTTTAGAATATGATTACTGACACACTGGGGCCCAATATAAATGTTTTTATGAAGGAACATGCGGGCTCTAAATCGACTCCTCCACATATTTGACTTTCCAGAGTGGCTACTTAATGGCTCTCTATGGTGGAGCTCAACAAATAAATGACAAAAGGGCAGAAAGCAAATTAGTTAACTGAACTGACATGTTATTAAAACCAAGACCAGAACGGAGAAAACCTGATTTTAGCTATTTTTTATTATATTCGTGCAATGTATCGAGTACTGCAGAATAACTCAGTTGTGCTTACAGTTACTCTGCTAGTCATATATATCTATATCTATATCTCTATATCTATATCTATATCTCTATATCTATCTATCTCTATATCTATATATCTATATCTATATCTATATCTATATATCTATTATCTATATATCATCTATCTATATCTATCTCTATATCTATCTATCATATCTATCTCTATATCTAATCTATCTATCTATCTATCTCTATCTCTATCTATACTATCTATATCTATCTATCTATCTATCTATATCTATCTATTCTATACTCTATCTATCTATCTCTATTCTATCTATCTATCTATCTCTATATCTATCTATCTATCTATCTCTATATCTATCATCTATCTATCTATATCTATCTATCTATCTATCTATCTATCTATATCTATCTATCTATCTATCTATCTCTATCTATCTATCTATCTATTATCTATCTATCTATATCTATCTATATATCTATATCTATCTATACTTAATATATAAAATAGACAATTTAATTCTTTTAATTAAATCTTTTTCAAGTACATTGAAAAAGCCTGCACTGTGTATTATTTTACTAAAGGGAAAATTATATTAGTGCATAGCGCAAAGAACTACCTGTTCACATACCAGCCAAACAGTGTGAAAGCTCAGTAGTCACCACTTTAGTAGCTCCCTGTAAGAGGCATCTGACTCTTAAGTAGCAAATATTCTCCAGCTCACTCTTCACCAGCCAGTCTCCAACTTTGTCTGTCAGAGCTGCCCGAGAGGCCCAAAACAAATGTGTTCCCTCTGAGTGACTTCGGATTCTCCAAGCATTTAATCTAAATACGCAACACATCCTGATGTAAGGTTTATTAATGGGTGTTAGACTGACAGTCATAGTGTAGCACACCGTTTCCAGCTACCTGCAGTGTTTTATAGGCTTTCACATGCTCTGGATTTCCTTAAAATGAATAAATACTTGAAAAAAGACTTGACTACCACCTCGGACACTGGGGCAGTCCCCCCTAAAAGAGCAGTTATTTTAAGAGCAGGGATTGTAGCATAAACAAGCACGTCTAAACGGGCTGAAAACATAACCCTCATGTCTGAATGACCCGAACCCCTAGCTAAGGGTTACTGTCTGTGCCGCACGCCTTATCCAAGACTCTCAAACACAACAGACACTCCTTGTACTTTTCCAGACCTTGACAATCTTGTCAGTGCCAGAGGTGAGCAGATTTCCAGTGGTGGGCTCGTAGTGCATGTAAACAATGCTGTGCTTGCTGTCGTGGAAGGTGGCTGTGGGTGCTCGACTGCAAGACACAAAGGCAGCGCCAGCGGTTATAGTGTGCGAATCACTGGGAAAGCTACAAAGGCTCAGTATATGACAACAACAGAAGCTGATTGTTACTCACTCCTCGTCACTGATGGACTCGTGGCAGCTGTCACACACGCGCACCTCGAACTCGAATCCCATGAGGGGGATGGTGGAGCGTTTGGACGAACATTTGCCGCACACTGCCTGGCCGCACTTCCTGCAGTGGTGCTGAGCACACAGGAGGATACGAACACATCAGCTTTCATTCAACATCTTATTTCTCATCAAAGAAATGGAGGTGGTGTTTTGCTTTTTGTTTTGTTTTGTCTTACAATGAAATGTTTAGCAAATTTATACGCCAAGTCAAGGCCAAGTTTTGAACTTTGTGTTTCGAAAGCTACAAGAAGATACTGGTTGTGATGCATTTTGATAATTCCTATCCAGCAGACAATCTCTCTCTCTCTAGGAGACTGTGTGAGGTCTGCAGACAGCTGCAGCACACACACTTCATCACAGCTGTAAGTCTGAATGAGACTTTGAGGAACATAACATAACACTGACCCGTGTCCAAATAACAGAATCAAACTAGCAATGTTAACCATCCAACGTCTGAAATCGGCTTAAATCAGACCACTTCAATTCATTTCCAAGAGTCCACACGCGTTGAAACTTCAGGTAAAATGTTCTCGACTTCTCTTTTTATTATAACATCTGTATCTGCATTAAGCATTAAAAATGCAAGACCACCAACCTGGTAGATTTTCTTGTTTTGACACTGAAGTTTTATTTCATCAGCTGCATACAGCTTGAAGCACTCTATACACATTCCTCAGTGATGCTGAAACATTTTTGTGTACAGTCAAAAATCTTTGTGTTTTTCCCCCCTCCAGTGCAGTGAAATAGAAACACCAACATTACAGCGCTTTGTGTTTGGTTCTCGCTACACAATGTTTCAACAGACTGCTGTGCAGTCAAAAAAACGCCTATTACTGTATCTTTGAACTGTGATTCGCACACACACACACACACACACACACACACTTGGAATGAGTAACCACAACATAAAGCAGTTTCTGAAATTGAGGCAATAAAACAGCCACAGGATGTTTGCTTGCCATTAGCGTGGCAGAAGTGAAGAGTTATAGAGACTTGTTTGTTAGAAAGCTGTTTGGAATACGTTTTGAGTGCGGCTGAGCTGCACATCACTGAATCTGCTGCAGCAGAGAAGCTGAGTTATGATATATTTGATATATAATAACTTGTATTTTTAAAGAAGAGTGGAAATAAAACAAGGTGCTCGGCTAACGGGCGTGCGCTCAGTACCTGCCGTAGGCCGATCTTCTTACTGTCCCACATCTGTTTGAAGTTCCAGAAGAAAGGCTGCTCACACTTCTGACAGGAGTCGCTGTCCAGCCATTCTGGGGTCTGTGGAAACGCACATTTCAAAACTCATTTGACTTCCAACATAAACACTGGAGAAATATTTAAACCTGCCAAATCAATTATTTTTTCTTATATTGCTGACCCAAGAGAGACTGAAGCTTTTTCTACAAATTGAGGGTCAGAAGATGGTTTAGCCCAGTTTAAATGTCGTGTTTATTCAATAGATCTCAGCTACTTCCGTTCCTACGTAAATAAAAGTGTAAAAGGATAAATTATAGTCAGGGAGGGAGGGAGCTGTTTATATGTTTTGCTGTACAGCAGAAATAAATCCAAATTCACTCTGACAACATGACATCAGGAATCAGGATACTGTTATTTTTCCAGAACAAAAACACTTCCCCCGAACCTTAGTCTGTATAAAACATGTACCGTAAATCCCGGACTACAGAGCGCACCTGATTAAAAGCAGCATGCTCTCATTGTAGAAAGAAAATTAATTTTGTACTTGTACAGGCCGCACCGGATTTTAAGCCGTATGCGTTTCACCTGTAATATGAGATATTTACACAGAAATACTACACGTGAGGATTTTTAACGTTTAATTTAATCCGTAAGGTAACATAAACGTTATGGTAACATACAAAAATACATACTTCAAATGCTTTTTTTCCTTGAACAGCGCCTGTAACACGGCTACCTCTAAGTATATGTACTGATCGGTAACACACAAATTACGTTGCTTGTGGGTTTTTTACAGAAAGGTGCACAAACAATATTACAACGTCTCTTAACAACCGATAAAAATATATACAGTACATATACACTACTTATCATTTTGATTGGTCTACTGTTACCAGGCAAAATGTTTTTGGCTGCATGAAAAAAAATATGCATTAGCCGCACGTCAGTATATGCCACAGTGTTCACAGCGTGGGAAAAAGTAGCGGCTTATGACCGCTTAGATATATATCTATATACATA